CATGGCACGGAACGTGTTAACACTATCAGAATTTCATAGAACATTGATGTTGGTATCACAGGAAATCCATTCAAAATGAAATGTATATGATAGTGACACGATTTTTTTATGATATGTTTTGTATCACTCGAGTCATGAATTGCTCAACAGTTGCTTACAATAGAGAAGAGATTTGCGTTTGCCTTTTTTTGTACCGCTTTTTATGTAGCTAGTCATGTTACACTGTATATATACCGCAATCATTTTGTAATAAAGTGTTTTTTTAAAGATATATATGTATATATATGTATATGTAATCATTAGTATTCCCACCCTATAATCCCTGCAGTTTTCAATTAGACTTTGACATTGGTGAAAGTTGAGAGATTTGTATTTCTCTCTGGATTATTAGATTATCGCATTCATTAACAAATTACATCTCTATGTATTTAAATAAACGTTTTCGTGTAAAATGTAGGATTAGAAAATCACTTTTAACTTAACTTTTTGTTTGATACTTTGAATCTTGACAGCACGGTAAAAAGTTCATTAGTCTTAGACTTAAGAAATTGTTGATTTTTACTTTGTTTCCTCACGTTTAGATTGAATCTTCTAGAATGATGTTTCCATGCTCTAGAAGTGGGGAGGAGAGATAAAAATAATTCTTTGCCAAGAAAGATTGCCGATAATTTTACAAATTCAAACGAAATTCCACGGTGTTCTAATTCGCTCTAGTACTAAACTTGAAGGCAAGAAGCCTGTTCTTTCTGAAAGGAGAGAGCTTTGAAAGTTGTGATACAATTTTTCTTCGAATGAAGATCGAGCTAACTCGAGAACTGAAAATTCCAAAGATAAGTCTACACAGATTGTTGAACGAGTCGACTTTTCACTTTGCTGCGAATTGTATTTATCTGAGTTTATAGCATCGTTTCTTTTGCAATAAACGTAAGTGTAACAATAAATCGACTACAAATAACAATTGCTGTAATCCCCCCACAATGACTTAGTGCAGGAGAAAGTTCGACGAATTATGGATACGTTCATTGCTTCTCACAACAGCAGGCTTCATCACAAGTTTAAGGAAAAATAAGCAACATCTTACACGTTTTATTTTTATATCATACATTTTAGACATAAAAATATTCAAAATACGCGTTTGTGCATTACTTGTGAATTACCTTTCTTCGACTCGAATCTGTCTAATCCATCGTTTCCAAAACTTCGATCGATCGATCGTGTAAAAACTGTAGACATTGAGCAAGGTAAGAAAATAAGTGTAGGCATGTACATAGGATTCACTATCTTTCGTAATTTCGTCGAATAGCCTCGAGTGACTTTCTTCGATGTATCAGCATACAAATGACACGGCCGCTCACACTTTATTTTCACTTAAAATTCAGCAATCGTGTGTCAAAATTTAAACCGAGTTCGACTGACACATATTGCGACAACAGTCGGTATATTAACACTAAACGTACCGGCATTTTACATGTACCTATCTTACCATATGGGGTCGAATGACCCCTCGCGGTACACAAGATATGCAAAGAATTTTTCTCAGTAAAAAAACAAGCTAAGAGAAAAACAGAAAACGAGAAATTGAATAATCAGATAA